TGATTCCTTATATTTACATTTAAAATATAGATAAAAGTTTATAATATGTATTTTAAATATAGTTTATATAATATATATATAAATAAAATGTACAAGTAATTTACTAATTGTTTACAGCAAGTGTGTGCATGTGTGCATTTGTATGTATGTATTTCCATCCTTGCTTGAGGTAAAGGCTGAAATATGACCGGGAAGTAAATCAGAATGAATGAGAGAATCAAACCCAACTTAATTTAAAACAAGAAAAGCACAGCTTGTGGTTAAGATAGGAGTGATAGGGACAAATTATAATTTCTAGTTGAAGGAATTTGGTGGTAACTACACATTTTGCACACTGGAAAATTTGAGGTCTTTCAGTGAGCTGACCATGTGATGTATGCTTCATTAAAATTGTTGGAAAAAATAATTAACAACCTTGAATGTGATGAGTAATCATTGAATGTTGTCTGTTGATGGTGAACCTCATCTGGGGAATGTGAGTCAGGGTCTTTTGCTCTGAGAAGGTTCTCAAAGCATGGTCTCCACTGCCGCAAGAACTGTCATTGCCGACAGAGAATAAATCCTGTGTTCTCATACTAGTAACATTGAGGATGCTATCTATTTTCAGATGACATTCCAGAAAATAAAAATTTGTGCTTGTAGACTATCTACTTAATTTTCTAGTAACATGATGATGTAGTGTTTTCATTTTACAGATACTCTTCTGAAATTTGTTGTTTGTTTTGGCTATATTTTTATCTAATTTTACTGACAGGATTGCAGTGGACTCATAAAGTAAGCTGGGATGATTTTATTCATTTTGTATTCCTACAGAAGTTTACATATGGCTTTTATTCATGTTTAACATGTGATGTGGTTTACATGAGTCAATGAAGAACTGATTGTTTTGCTGAAAGTTATATATGAATTAAATGCTTAAAGAAATATCAAAGTCTTTATTTGTTCTTCCTCCATGGAAATTGTGTTTACATGACTTTTACATCAATTTTCATTTAATTTTGGCTTTCAGATATGAATTATATTATTTTCCACAATGTGACTAACTATTAGTGTAGCATTTGTGACATATGAAACAGAGAATCTTCTTTTTTGATAGTTTTTTGTTTTTTCTTAAACATTTTGTTAGCATTTTTAAACAAAAACATAGTTTGTTCTACACTTTCAGCTGTCTTCTACTTCTGTAAATTCATTCTGATTTTTGCATTTCTCTTTTTTTAATTCTTAACAGTTTACTCATTCCTAACATCTTTTAATAATATGCTTTGGTGTTACCATTACCTGGATACATCTTTAATATTATATATTCTTGATTAACTGATCTTTACCTTAATGGAATACTCAAATACTTTTAGAACAATATCATCATTTAAGAATAGAAATACAGCTTTCTTCCTTTTAATATTTCTCAGGGGACATACTTTTTTTTAATTTTCTACCTATTTGTGTCTTTATACTGACAGTGTTTCTTGTAAGAGGCATACTGCTAAGGCTTGCTTTCAATCCAATTTGTCAATGTTTAGCATTTAATCTACTTACATGAAATGTGAATTATTAATACTGAATTAAATCTAATATATTTTATTTATTTTTTACTTTTCTCATCTTTTCATCTGTTCATACCTTAAATATTGAAATGGATAAAATTAAATTATTTTTATGTCCTTTTATGCCCTTCTAATTCCATTTTGTGTATTAGGTGGTTGTACGTGTTTGTGTGCACTCGTAGCTTGCCTTTGCATTAGATATCATATTTATGTTAACTTTATTTTAATTTTGAAATACAAGGTTTCAAAATACTTAATAAAACAATTTGTGCTTAAAAATGATTGCAACATGTTTTTCCTTATCTCATTATTCTATTTTTATGTATGATATAAATTCCTTTTTAATGACTGAATATCTTCTCTTGCATATATGTCATTATATCACTATTTTGAGACCAATTAGGTTAAATGAGACTTTGATAGTGCATTCAAAATTCAACATGATTAGAGTCCTTGTGAGAAGCTGAAAATACAACTACAATGTATATTCCAAGAGAAATGGCCAGGTCAGGGCACAGAAAAGATGCCCATGCACAAGCTGAGGAAAAACCATCACGAGAACCTGAATCTGTCAACAACTTCATCTTGTACCTCTAGTATCCAGAACTATGGGAAATGCTTTCTAATTTATGTCGCCCATCCTGGTTCAGCAGCCGTACAAAACCAGTGAGAAATCTGATACAAAACCAGAGAATGTGCTGCCATGCTCGATCTCCTGGAAGGTTTTTGTCTTAGTTACTTTTAACTCATTGCTGAGACAAAATACCTGAAGCCCAAGTTGGGAAAGGAAAGATTTATTTCTTACAGTTTTTGGAGGTTTCAGTCCACACTCAGTTGGCTCCAAGGCAGGTGGGCATGGCTGGGTCACAGTTCATGGTGGCTGCAATCAACAAGCAAGAACTGCCAAGAGCAAGACACACCTTCTTCCTGCCATTACATCACATCCTGGCTCCAATCCTATGTGGGTAGAGCACTGACACCATCAATCCAAGAACTAGGCAATGAACCAATCACAAATGCACAATGCAAATTCATGAGGCCTGGGGGCCACTGACATAAACCAAGAACATTTTTGTGTGATTCACCCATCTTATCTACTTTACTTTGTACAATAGGACCTCTTGTTCTTCCTGAAAGTCAAACTGTCCATGAACGTTATACGTCCTGAACTCATTCAGCACATCAAGGCAACCAATAAAAAAAAGACACTCAAAACTGCCTGAGAAGTGGCCAGAATGATGGCATACAAGTTGACCAATGGATGAACAGATAAAGAAGACAGTCTACCTAGGCACAAGGGAGAGCTACTCTGCAATAATGGAAGATGAACTTCAGTCCTTTTAAGACAAAGGGATGAGCCTTGACACCATACTATTAAGTTAAATACTGTATAGTTTGATATTGCTGACTAATTAATATATGAACAGATCTTGACATAGAGAACAAAATTGAGTGCATTGTATGGTTTGGGTTCAACAGTGGTAAAAAATTATTTTTAGTTTTTCAATTATATCCAAAATATATAGATCGATCTATCTATCTAAAGTGTGTATACAAGTATGTGTATATATATGTGTGTGTGTGTGTTGTGTGTGTGTGTGTGTGTATATATATATATACATATATATTGATGAATGTGTGAATATATGTATATATAGGTATATATATTATATATATATATATATATATATATATATATATATATATATGTGTGTGTGTGTGTGTGTGTGTGTGTGTGTGTGTGTGTGTTTGAGCATACTATACTTATATATATTTACCTGAAATGTTACTCATTTCATTATTCTCATTGCATTGATTTAATATTTTCTAATATTCTCCAACAATTAGCAAATATTTTTACTCTTGTTGTCAGTATTGATATAGCATAGTAAATTTTAACTTTCTGTTTTGCTTAGGTCCTCCATATTTTGGAAATGTAGTGTTTATTGTTTTATCACTTCAAGATTTGTTATATACTTTTTCTTTATTGCATTTATTTTGAATGTTACCATGCATTGCATACAAAAAAAGAGAAAAAAATGCAGTCAGTAGTCTTTGTGCCTGGAAGTGGGCATATCACTCATGCTTCTGTGGGCATATTGATGAGTGTAAGCTGTATGCAGTGCACGATACATTTGTAAATATCTTTAGCAATGGCCTGCTGCTGCCTTTTATTAGTGCGAGGCCTGAGATGCTGTAGACGCTATGCCTGTGTGTTCTTACTCTGCCTGCAGCTTTCAAAGGCCCAGGAAGACTTTGCAAACAATATGCTCATCCCTGTGCTTTGCTGTTCACCCAGAAGTAAGCACTGGTTGTTCCTGAAAGTTATCTAATGAGCAGACTATATTTTAGTTCCTTGCTTCCCGCTCAGCAAGATATAGAGCTTGTTACTTTAAGTCCAAGACTTGGGTGTTCTCAGTATTTCTGCTCCTCCATGTCAAGTATTCTTTTTATCTCCTCCAGTCCAAGACTGAGAACACAGTTTTCCTATAATTTCTCTGATTATGCTGTATGTTTGCTGCATATCCCAGCAAATTAGAGATAGTTAGGATTTACTGCTCAGTCTCAGCATCAGATGGCTGACAGAAACGGATTTTAAATCTCAGCTGGACACCCCATTTGTTCTTCTCATTGGTTCTAGCTTGCAGAGATTCTTAGGAGGCCAGCCACTTTTCATCCTCTCCTTGTTAATTTGGTCTTTACTGCTCAGATTGCAAGACATTGGTCATTTGTGTTTCTCCCTTAAGGTCAGAAAATTTCTTCCACGAAGGTTTGAAGTGTTTGGACCCAGTGATGATCCAGGACTTTTTCCAATAGAAGATAATGCTTGGCTTTCACAACATCAAATGGAGTATTTAGTGCTTTGTGGCTAGTTTTTCTGCCTATTGTTAAGTGCAGTCAACCATTAACTTGTAGACAAACTACAAGTGTCTGGTGAGAAGGGGCATTGGATTCGAATCTTTTTCCTTATCTTCCTAGTTTGGTAGCCATGTGTTTTGTGTAGTTGGTGTTTCTACCCTGTTCCAATAATGACAGTGGGTGTTTTTCCTGTGGGAATAGTTAACAAGTAGATTAATTTTCTTGTGTTTATCTTTTGGGAATTATAAGCAAGGGAATTCCTATGCTTGCCTCACAATATCCTCTCTTATAGTTCATTAAATGTCAAACTAATTTTACCCATTTAATTTTACAGTTTTTTTTTTTACAGTTGTTACTTTTATTTTGCTTTAATTGGTCTTAGTTTGAACAATATGAATCTCATTTCTTCTTGGAAAATCCACTTACTTGATGGAAATTTTGTCACCGTGCATCCTTGTGATTTTCATATTCTACTAATGATCATATATGTTCTGATTTTAAACGTGATAGTACAGTTTTCTTTCTGAATTTACAACTTATGCAAAAAGGTAAGGAAATCTCACGTTTAAATTTTAAGTTCTAATTTTAAAAAAAAGTAAGATTTTAGTGTGCAAAATTTGCCTAGTTACACGTCATCTTTGTGCAGGGACCAGCTAATCATCTCTGTATATTCCAGTGTTAGTGGATGTGCTGCCAAAGCAAGCGCTGAAATTTGGCTACTTTATAACTTTACCAATGGTACTGTACTTTTCTGCCTAAAATTTTTGTCCTCATTCTGTGTAATAAAAATACAGATATTTAAGTTAATTATTATATTAACTAAAAATGTGATAAATTCGAAATATGTTGCTTGCATATATGAAATAGATAATTATATAAATCTGGTTATAAAATTATCAAAGATAAAATAAAGAGAAGGAAAAACAATCTAAATTATGAATCAAGCATTTCATATTAGCAGGTACAAATAAACACAGTCTGCTCCTATTTGCTGTATATAGTATGATGCTTGTTTGAGTCATTTAGTTGTTAATATCAGTGAAATTAAATGGAGATGTAGCAATCCAGCTATATTAGTATTATTTAGATATATAGGCGTGAAATATATCTATTTTCCCAAAATAGGTGATGTTGTATCTTGAAAACCTCATGCAAATTTTACGTCATTCAATAAAAGGTATTTCAATCTATCATCAATTATCTTCAACACGGATGTATGGCATTATTTATTGATATCTTGATTTCTTTAAGAAAGTCATAATGCTTGTAAAGTTTGGCTTGAAGTGAAACGTTAGGGGTAAGATTATAAGTGAGTGGATTCATCAAGGATATGTCGGAGACCAGCTCTACATCTGTTCAAGGTTGACAGATGGAAGTTTTCCTACTGATCCATTTCATTTTAATGCAAAGTCTGCAGAAATTATTAAAATTATTAATATTAATTGTGATAATGAAATGAGTGAAATGGTAAGTGAGACAGTTTTTCCAGATATATACACAGGTGATAATTACAGTATTGTTGGATTTCTACTATATCAGTGGCAGCCATTGTCTCCCTAGATTCTTCTTTTCCACACTTTGTGTCTTCTCTTAAAGAGAGAAACTTTCATATTATCTCTCCTGGAACCTCAAGCTAATTTCAGCTATTATGTGGAGGGCTTGCCTTTTTGTGCACTGTTATTTTTACTGTGGTATGATGAGCTAATTTTCAGATAGTTTTAACCAATTTTTCATATCCTATAGTGTTTCCTTTTTATTAAATTACATATTTGGAATGTGTGGATCATTGAATTTGTATTTAAAGTAGAGAAGAAGATTAATTCAGCAGTAAGAAAGAAAATGTACAAAGACACTGAAGAAGAGTGTGGGGTTTTGTTCACTTTGAGGAGACAAAATGATTGACAAAATACATAATAAACAGATAGCTCCGAAAATCTTTATTACTTTACAATATTCCCAAAGTAGTTCTTTTAGCTATCATAAGTAAAATGACAATCTTTTCAGCTACAGGTTTATTTTAAATAATAATAGCTTGTAGGTGTTCTTTCAAGGAGAACTAATAATTTTGTTTTCATTTCTTAGTTATATTGAAGTAATGACACATTACTCATGGGTTCTAAAGGGACACATGTATTTTTGAATTCACGTTCAGTAGTCATAAATTTAGATTGTTTCCCATAGCACTACTCAGAAATGTTCAAGACTTTTATTTGGTTATTTTCAATAGTAAAATAATTATTGCATTTATAATCTAAATCCAGAAGAGCATGCAATCTTCATTAGGACAAATGGCACATTTATGAAAAGCAGACACATCATTGTGATTGTGGGAAAACAAAGAAAACCCAAAGCCAGGATATTCTTAGAAAAGATGGTAATAATGTTTTCTTTTTTCCATAGGGGGGAAAATAGTATTCCTAGGCATGCTAAAGCCTGTTTCACATGATTTTCTGTTCAGTGACTACAATCACACATATATCATCAACCCTAAAAGGGAAACACAATACAATTTCGACATCTAAAATCATATATCTACATTAATTCTTCAGTTTCTGAGTGCTTCCTGAGCAATTCAGTATGCAAACAGAAGCTTTCTACAAAATTTTGCTTTCTTTTGTGAACTCCTCCTAAAGTGACAGACACGGTCATGGCCACTTTCTGAAGCAATGTGGTATAACTGCATTGTTTTATCCTGATTTTGCACTGTTTCTATGTTATTTCTTTACTGAATATTTGCTATATGGCATTAATTTCATTAGAAACCTCTTATTTTGGATTTAACCTTCTAAAGTGCTTTTTCATCACAGACAACTATAGATTAATACCATGCCACACAATGATACTGCTAAGATATTTGAGAGAGAGAGAGAGAGAGAGAGAGACAGAGAGACAGAGAGACAGAGAGACAGAGAGAGACAGAGACAGAGACAGACAGAGACAGAGACAGAGACAGAGAAAGAGACAAAGAGTCAGAGACTGAAAGAAAGAAAGAGCATTTTTCATTGTATTACTCTCTAAAATTATTCCATGTTATGATTCACTATTGTTGTTTTCTTACCTAATTTATAAACCAATCTTAAAATGCCTTTGTGTAGCAGCATATGTGCAATCTGTTCCCATGTATGGTTGCAGGTATCCACTGGGACTTCCCGAATGTACTTCCTTTCAGGCAAGAAGTAGGAGTGTGCTGTTGCTTTTGGCTACGGTTTGTTCATCCATATTATTTAAAAATGTTCCATTGCATGACTACATACTACATCATGACTAAACCAACTGTTCTATTGTGAGATGGACATTTGGGGAGTTAACCTATTATAAGCACTGCCATTCTGAAAGACACTGTGACAGTGTGAGCGTGGAAACACAGAGGAAGGGGGCGCACACCAGTGACATGCTCAGTCGTAAGAAGAAGCATAATTTGGTGGGCGATGCCCTCCACCATCAGAAAATGATTCTGTCAGTCCACATTTCAGGCAACAGGAAACAGCTTACCTGTCCATCAACAAATAGGTGGTGAAGAAAACATCGTTTTCATACACAATGGAGTCCTACTCTGCGGTAAAAAAGGATAAACTTTAGTGATTTATAGGAAAAAGAATGCATCTTGAGATCATAATGGTACATAAAATAAATCAGACACACAAGCTTAAACATTGCATGGTTTCTTTATGCGAGAAACACAAATATATTAAATAGCATGATAAAAGATACATAATAAAATATACAATAGAAAATAGATCTTTCTCAAAGAGTGCTAATAAAAATCAAAGTTCGTAAAATGTGTCAAACTTTAACATAACTAAGATATATACTTAGTACATATCCTTTACACACATTTAATTCTGTTATTTTCATCTACTCCATTTATGAAATCATGTTTTAATTTATATCTGGTACTACATTACTAATGACTTAGAGCATGTATGTACATATTTTGTGATTATATTACATTTGTTCAGAACTCACATGAATCTTTTTTTAATGAATTTTTGAGACAGGATCTCAATACGTATGTAGGTCAGGCCAGCCTTGAACTCCTTGTGTAGTAGTCCAGGTACACCTTGACCTTGCAGTGATCTTCCTGCCTTCCAAGTTCTGGGACACAGGCATGTACCACCATGTCTGGCAAGAACTTCCTTGAATCTCTCTCTAATATTTTAATTTGAGTACCTAGTCAGTTGGTAAATATGCCTTACACATTCTAAGCATTTGTTTCTATGCCTATGTATATATGAATATACATGCATATATATGTCTATACATATATATGCATATATGCTGTATAGATTTTATTAACATGTTTAGAACACAATTTCTTTACTTGTGCATTCATTAAATCATGAAGTTTGAGGGAGATGTAAGATACAAATAGTTGCAAATTTTTAGTTCCCTTGAAGACCTTGAAATTCTCTTTTGACCTGAATATAAAACATTAACTGAAGTTCATCAAGAAGAAATATCAAATGGAGAAACATTTTATAAGAGCAAGAACAAAAAATTTCTCTGCTTGTAACCATAAATTGTTCCTTTATATTTTCAACTTATTCTTTAAAACTCACTTTAAACTATTCTTTATAGCTATTTTTATGAAAGTTTATGTTTTTTCTTGGAATGTTCTATTAACCAGGCTTCATTCTTTTAATAATTGTATTTTATATTTATTCTTATATTGGCCTTCCAGCTTTCCGGAATACACTTTAACACTATCTAATATGCATGCATACATTATTCTTTTTCCACTGACTACAATATAAACCAAACCCAGTCATAAGCTCCAGAAGCTATTCATTGATCCTGTATTTCATTGATGCATGTGGACAAATGATGGTCAACGTCTAACACCCAGCTGAAATGAATTACCGTGGTTCTGGGTGTCGAAGGCCCACCTAAGAATTGTTGCCAATGGAATAAAAGAAGGACAGGAGGGGAAAATGGTGTGGTGTTAGTTCTCCTGGAGAAGCATGTCATGCTGGTTTTTCTGGTATGAACTCAGCTGTTCTCATTGTTGCAGAATCTCGGGACCATGATGTCACTGAGAATGGCTGTGGTTTTACTCTGGGGGAAGCTCTGATCCTTACCTTGAGCATCACTTCCTGGCTCCAGTGAATATCCCTCAGCCTGCTGACACAGATCTTTCATCCCATTGGTGCAGACTTTCTAATCTCCACCACAGGTCTCTGGGCTTTCCAAGTGCAGATCCTTGAAGCAAGCTTTCATGGGGCATTGTGATGGGCCCTTTGCCTGCAGTTGGATTTCTGCAGGACATTGCCATGGAATCTAGACCTTTACTGGATTCTTTGGGTCTCTAGTGAGTGGACAGATCTCCTGCACACTTTTAAATGTCATTGCTTGGATGCATATTATAAAAATAATCTTATAAATTATGTGTCCTCTGTTAAATTGTTTCCCTTGCAAAGAGTTCCTGTTGACAGGAACTGTTCCTTTTCCATGTTTCTCTTCCACTCAGTCTATCAAGTCAAACTTTTGCAACTTCAGTATTTTGCTACCCAGCCCACACGATTATGTGTATGTACCTTGGCAACATCTGTTTAGTGCTAACAGGTACAGCTTCTGCAGATGTGAGTGTCTTTATGTTAGTAACTCACCACACATTCTTCCGTGGTCGAGTTAGCATGGAGACAGAGCCAGAAACAATCCATTTCAGGCTTATTAAAGTTAAAACCCAGTAAACTGGCATATCTGGAA